CAATTATGGAAGATGGTTTTGCTGGGAACAGAAGTCTGGTTTGGCAGCTATTGTTTTTCAGAGTTTGAAATACATCCTTCTAATCCTTCTTGGCATTTACAAGTTTCTTTTAAGAAATCTGCTTTTGGGTCTGGAGAGATGGCACAGTGGTTAAGAGTATTGGTTGCTCTTGCAGAGGACCCACGTTCGATTCCCAGCACCCACACGGTGGCTAACAACTGCCTGTAACTCCAGTTCCAGGGGGATCCAACACCCTTTTCTGACCTCCATGGACATTGCATGACATGGGTGCACCTACCTACATGCAGGCAATACACTCATATACAGAAAACAAAAATAATACGTAAAATACTAAAGAAATCTGCTTTTACTCTGATGGGTTTGCCTTTATTTGGGACCTGGTATTTCTCGTTTGGCTTTTATTATACTTTCTATGCTCTGTACACTGTTGTTTTGGAGGTTCTTTTCCGGTCTTATATGTTTGGTATTCTAAATGCCTCCTGTATCTGAATACATTATCTCTTTCCCTATATTTGGGAAGCCTTCTCTTATGATTTTATTGAAAATCTTTTTTATGCCACTGGTATGACATCTCATTCTTCTATGACCATGATTTGTAGACTTGGTCTATTCATAGTGTTTAGGGATTACAAATGTTCTGTTCATATTCTTTACATTTTATTTTATTATTACTTTAAAAAATTTTATGTGTATGTGTGTATTGCCTGCATGTAGGTAAGTGCACCCGTGTCATGCAATGCCCACGAAGGTCAGAAGAGGCTGTTGGATCCTTTGGGACTGGAGTTACGGACAGTTGTTAGCTGCCATGTGGGTGCTGGGATTTGAACCCGGGTCTTCTGCAAGAACAACCAGTGTTCTTAACTGCTGAGCCATCTCTCCAGCCCTTCTGTTGATATTCTTAATTTATCCTTTTCATTGTCTCAATGTCCCAATCCCTCTACCTTGCCTTCAAGACCTAATATTCTGTCCTCCTCTTAATCTATTTGATTGGTGAGGTTTTTCATGGAGGCTATTTTGACTTACTGATCTTCTCATCTTCAGTATTTCAGTTTGGTTTTTTCTCCAGTACCTGTCTTTTTTACTGAATTTAACTTTCATGTCCTATAATTGACTTTCTTATTTCATTTACCTGCTTGTGTTCTCTTGGAATTCATTCTGAAGTTTATTTCTATATTCTGAGAGTTTTAAAAAACATATTTATAAGTATTGTTTTGATTTAGTATTTCATCTAATTCACTTTCATTGATGGCCACCATTGTGGGATTAGTAATTTTTTATAAGTCATATTCCCAGGGATGGAAAGATGGCTCAGTGGTTAAGAGCACTGGTTGCTCTTACAGGGGACCCGGGTTCAATTCCTAGCACTCATATGGTGGCTAACAACCATCCATAACTCCAGTTCCAGGGGATCAGACACTCTGACCTCTGTGGGCACTGTATGACACAGATGCACTTACATACATGTAAGTAATACACGCATACATATAAAATAAAAATAATAAAATGTAAAAAAATATTTCCTTGGTTTTTTAGTATACTTTTTTTGGGGGGAGGGTATCTTTTAAAGACAGAGTCTCCCTATAACCCCAGCTGGCCTGAACTCACTATGTAGACCAGGATGGCCTTGAACTCACAGAGATCTGCTGTCTCTGCCTCCCGAGTGCTTAGACTAAAGGCATGTGCCACCATGCCTGGCATTATTATTCCTTTTTTTTAAAAAAAAAATTATTATTTTATGTGTATGAGTGTATTTCCTGTATGTACGTAAATGCACTCATGTTGTGCAATGCCTGTGGAGGTCAGAAGAGGGCATCAGATCCCCTGGAACTGGAGTTGTGGATAGTTAGCCGCTATGTGGGTGTTGGGAACCCGGATCCTCTGCAAGAGCAGCCAGTGGTCTTAACTACTGAGTCATCTCTCCAGCCCTGAAAAAGGGTAACTTCTTAAAAATATCTTTCAGAGAAATTGAATGCAAAATATGATCTTTACTTAGAAAAATTTGTGTACTTAATCACAAACTTTGATCAGTCTCACAATATAGGTATATAAGGAGTATAACCTATACTTCTTTATATTGAGAAAAGTTAGTATTACCTTATCCTGATTAAAAAGGTATCCTCTGCCTTCTGTCATCACTAAGGACTGTTATTATTTGTTGCTGTTTTGAGATAGAGTCTCCCTGTCACTCTAGCTGGCCTGAACTCACTATGTGGACCAAGCTGGCTTTGATCTCACAGAAATCAGCCTGCCTCTGCTTCCTGAATGCAGGGATTACAGGCATGCACCACCATACCTGGCCCTAATATTTTTTTAATTTTTAAATTATTTATTTTTATGAGTATTAGTTTTTAATATTTTATTTATTATTTTTAGGTAGGTACGCCCATGCTGTGCAATGCTCAGGGAGGTCAGAACAGGGCATCAAATCCCCTGGACTGGAGTTAAGGGTGGTCGTTAGCTGCCATGTGGGTGCTGGGAACTAAACCCGGGTCCTCTGCAAGAGCAGACAGTGCTCTTAAACACTGTGCCATCTCTCCAGCCCCATGAGTATTATTTTTAATGTGCCTTTTTATCTGTATTTATTCCATTCTGAGGTTCAGCAAGTAATAAGCTAGTTATGGACTGTCAAATGTTTTAGAAGGCTATTATATATCTTTACTGAAGAATAGAGAACTTCCAGATAATTATTTAAAATTCTGTGTTTCTTTCTGTGATCTCTTTTATTGAATATCAAAATAAGAGAATTCTTAAACCTGAGAATTTTAATCAAACAGTTAAGCAGAATAAAACAATCTTTAAACAACTTTGGAAAACTTCAAAAGGAGATCCTGCACTGTGATAAATGTTCAGCTCCCATTTTTATACTTAATCTGCTATTACTAGACAAATCTAACACATACATCACATTTACATCACTTAATTGCTTATCTTATAAAATGATAAACTGTGAGAGCAGTGAGATGCCACGTGATCTTATGGCCTCATTAGGTAACTTTTGGATAGTTTGATATTTTCCCTATTTTCTTATAGATTTGTTTTCTGATTAACCTGAAAGGCTTAAAAATGTTAATGTACAAAATTTACTTAAAAATATCAATTTTGGGCTGGAGAGATGGCTGAAGAGTAGTAAAGAGCACTGAGTGCTCTTGCAGAGGACCTGGGTTCAATTCCCAGCACCCACATGGCAGTTAACAACTGTCCAAAACACCAGTTCCAGGGAATCCGATGCCTTCTTCTGACCTCCGTGAGTATTGCACAACATGGATGCACTTACATGCAAGCAGGCAATACGTGTATGGTTCGTAGCCGCCATGTGAGAGCTGGGAGTAGAACCCAGGTTCTTTTGCAAGAGCAGTCAGTGCTCTTAACCGCTGAGCCATCTCTCCAGTCCCAATAAATAAAATATTTTAAAATATATATATTTTATGCACCAGGCATGGTGGCACATACCTTTAATCCCAGCACCCAGGAGGCAGAGGTGGGTGGATCTCTGCAAGACTGAGGCCAGCCTGGTCTACATGATGAGTTCCAGGCTTGCTGAGGCTACAGGGAGACCCTGTCTCAAAAAAATTAATTTTATGAAAATTGCATTTAATTTTACTTGCCTACTTTTACTGCCGAACACACATGACAACCTTAATATGCAATTTTCTATCATCTTAATTCTTGCCTTTTTAGAGATGTTTGCTCTAAAAGATTATACATATCCAAATATCATATTTATTTGTTATTGTTAAAACTTTTTGGATTAAATTGCATGCTCCTTGAGAGTACTGTAGTACAGATGCTCAGCTGACACTCATTAATATTCATGGAGTTAATTTATTAGCTATTAATTATTAATGAATATTAATTCATCTACCCATTCACTCATTTACTTACTGAACATTTACTATGTCCCAGGATATTGTTTAATGTTGTAGACACAAAGTGACAAACAAACAGTTCCTGCTCTAAAGCTGCCCAGACACATGAAGAATTGTCATAGACAGAAAAACTGCCCCCTAAAAATAACTATGCCCTGAAAACGTAGAGGTTTTCACATTTTTGGAGTTTAGATTTAATGGAAAATAAAGCCAGGTGTGATGGTACATGCCTTTAATCCCAGCACTTGGAAGGCAGAGGCAGGTGGATATTTGTGAGTTCGAGGCCAGCCTGGTTTACATAGTGAATTCCAGGTCAGCTGGGGCTACAGGGAGACCATGTCTCAAAAAGACAAAATAAATAAATAAATAAATAAATAAATAAATAAATAAATAAATAAATAAGATATAAACAAAATTAATAAACTTCTGTTAAGTAGTAGTAAATGCTCTGAATAAAATAAAGCAACATAAGGAGACAATATATATGCGTGGGAAAGATGCACATTCACAATCAGAAAAAAGGGACCAGGGCTTAGAACATGGCATCTGTATTATTTTCTATGCTCAAGGTTTTCTAAAAACCAATAAGAACTGTCTTTGTGCTCCATGGAATAGCTCTTTCTTTTCTTATTTTATGTATGTATTTAGAGGTAGGATCTTTCTAGGTAGACCTAGGTCTTCTGGCTGGTCTGGTATAACCTTGAAGTGGCAATCCTTCTGCCTCAGTATTCCAAGTGCTGAGATTACAGGTAAGAGCCTTCAATATACTTATAATTTGTTCAAATGAAACAAAAAATTTCAAAACAAAACTCAGGTTTTCCTCAGGCTAACCAACTGCTATAGTACTATAACAACATACAGTTGGTCATGCATGGCACTAAACATTAATTATAATTTTAGTACTGAATACACCTTTATGGATTTTTGATGCTGGGCTCTGTGTGGTTCAACAACAGTATTTCCATGTATCATACATTAAGTACAAGTAATTCTATTGGAAATTGGCAAAGAAAGCACAGAAAACTCAACTACTGTTAAATTTAAAGAAAAAAACAAATGTATATTGATTTTATATGACACAGTCAACATAATAAAACAATACTTAAAACTCACTTTGAAGTATTTCAACTTCTGTTCTAGCCTGTGCATCTTCCTTTTCCTTCAACCGTGTCTCTCTGTATTTTGCATAAAACTGCCCAGCATCCTTAAAAAAGAAGTTAGAACTAAATTAACATAAAATTAATTTGCTTTGACAGTATTTTCCTTTTAAAATATTACATTCATTTTACAAATGTTATAATGACCAGAAATAGTAAACACTCCCCTGTAACTTTTCTCTCCTGGAAAGCTAAGTCCAGAAGTTGCAAGAATATAAATTCACATAAATTTACTTTCATACATGAAAAGGAGATTTTCACTTCCTATTTCCGTCTGACATTTTCTTGATATCATACTGTTGTATGGACAGCAGAGATGCTACCCTACTAAACTGAATTATTTGGCACAATTATCTTACTGTAACTAACAAAGTGCTAGTGCTATCTTCATATAGTACCTTAACTCCAGTAGGTTTTCAACATTATTATAAGCAACTCTGAGGGTGAAACCATGTGAATCTGAATGAAAGCTGCCACCCCTCCTTCCCATCACCCTAGAGAACACTGTAACACAGGCATCATGGAACACTGTAGACTGAGGATACATACTGCACAAACACTCGGGTGTGAAGATCTAAAAGCTAAAGTCTCAAAGAGTGAACACACAGGCAAGTAAGTCTTCAGCAAGGAGCCAACAGAAGACTAGGACTTACATAATCATGGATATTAAAATAAATATGCTCTAGGTATATGATGACCTAACAATGAAAAGCAGCAAGATAGACCTTTCCCCACACTCTTTAAGTCACATGTATTCTAGCAATATCATATCTAGCTACCAGGCCACAGTAGGTTTTCACACCTCTGTATTTGTTTTGTCTTCAGGTTAGAGTATTTTGCTCCCTGCCATTATTTCGACAAACTACTTTTCATACTTGAAACCCTGTTCAAACACCATCTCTTTTACCTTCTCCAGCAGAGCAAGTCTCTCTTGTGTATGACTTCTGTACTTAAACTCTTAGATGATTAAATGATGTTAGTGTCTCCTAGAAGTTGGGACATTTGAGACAGAGAGATGTGTGTGCTCAGAGCAAAGATCTGGCATAGGGAAGGCAATCCATAGGGTTTACTGAGCTGAACTAAGTTGAAATATGTATGAAATCTTACAAAGAAGGAAATGGAAAGGCCTGATCTGACTGATGAGGAATAAGGAAAGGAGCAGGCATGAAGGATACATTTAAGATAGCATTCACAGGCTGCAAGATTCCTAATGAAGATAAATCACAGATCCCTCTAAGATTATTTCTACAGGAAATGAAGGAACAATACTTCCTCACTCAGATGTAATACATGAATACTTAGACCCTAGGATGGAATTACCTCATTTTATTCATGACTCTATCCAAGTCAAAGGTATCTCTTTGTCTATGTCCCTGGGATCATATTGGCACTCTTCCTGATAATGAATTAGGAAAATAATATTGAGTGTTCCTAAACCATTTACGTCAATATATAGTGAAGCTATTTCTCTTCATCCTTTCCATTCCCACTTTCATGTTCATAATTTCTAGTACAAGCATTCCTACAAGATTTGGGCCATCTAAACAGTGGCGTAACTGGAAGAGCACAAATGGTAATTTACCCAATTTATTAATCCTCCCATACCGATATATACATAAATTAAATTTCTATTTCCACAGGGTTCTGGGTTAAAGTTTTATGGCCCCTTAACATTTCCCACCCTCCTCTTAAAAAACTCAACCCTAGAGGAGTATTATTTTATATTAAGTCATATCAGTCATTTATACCTTGGTGTGAATGAATGAATGAGCTTATTAGCTTCTTTCCACAGAGAAGGTTTTAATAGTAGGGAAGAAGAAAAGGCCAGGAAGGCATTGGCTCCTTGAGGGGAGTAGGAAATGTGGCACCATGCAAAAAAAAGAAGGGCACAGATTAGTTATTTATGAGAGGTGAAAGAAGATAGACTGAAATATATCATCATATTATATAAACAATGAGATATGGTGATTAAGAGGACAGACAAGAGCTCACGACATAGACCAGGCTGGCCTTGAACTCATGGTTCTCCTACCTTAACTTCCCAGGTGCTGGGATTACAGACATAAATCAATACAAGAGAACCAATTTTGGAGTCTGCTTATCTAGATGAAGATTCCAACTCTGCCATTTTATGAGACATTTCTCTACACAGCTCAGTTTTCTCATCCATAAGTGAGGATAATAAAAGTGCTTAACTCAAAGGTTTGTTACTAAGATTAAATGTTTTAATATTTAGGAAACATTTAGAATGCCATCTGCACATAGTAAGGCTTTCCATATGTTAAGCTGTTTTTATTACTACTTAATCATCTGGTATCATTGTCTTTTTTACCACAAAGTATGGGTTTTTATGCTTCATACTGCACCAAAATACCTCTTGTCAAATCCTGCATCTCCCTGATTATTTCACTTCTCCCCATCTGCATTCTCTTTGACTCAATGTAAAAGACCTCTTATGGGGCAGCACCGCCTCTTCCTAGTGATCTTCCTGCTACAGCACGTAATTCCACTAAGAACCTGTGAAATAGTCCTACGATCCCAAACCACACTTATCTGAGAGTTGTAATTCACCGAACACCTGAACTTTAGCTAATCCAAGGGTTATCATGCATCCTCTAGTTCATTAACTGTTTGTTCAAAGCAAAGACTCCTACCTTGCATCTGATCAATCTTTATATATTTATTTCAATGTACTTCCTGTTTTTTCCACTCTTCACTTGTACTTTCAAATTACAGTTACAATGTGACTTTTCCAATAAGCATTATTCCCCCAAGAAACCTACCATCTCAAATAACTCTACTATACTAAATAATCTTGCTTTGTTCCACCCATCCTTTTATCTAGCATGCTGTAACATGCTTAAAGGCATACTACACTCAAGAAGACTCAAAAAGGAAAGTGCTCAAATGGTGAGACAGCTTGACACTCTATCTGATAAGGAACAGGAGATGAGAAGACTAGGGATAACCTGATACCATAAACTATTTTTAAAAGTCATCAAAGGAAGACAGGTGTCAATACTGTACATGGTTCCAGAAATGGGAAGTCTCAATTTTGGGTAAATAAAAAGTATTTTCTAATAATTAAAATTAGCTGAAAATGAACTGACCCTGTAGGGAGTTTCAAGAATTCAAAGAGACTTGAAAAGATAAATTGCTTTTCTAGAAGCAACTTTCTTTGTATTTAAAGCTTCTTGAAAAACCTCAAAATCTACCCATACAGACTGGACCCATATTTAAAACAAAGGATTGGACCCATATTTAAAACTGGCTAGCTTAAAGAATCTATGTCATTAGCATTTTTTTGTATGATTATAGAACACAGGCTGAAAAAAAGTCACTGGACAGTAGTCCATATTTAGATTTACCTACTGGACCACTGTTGTATGTGTTTTTTTTTGTTTTTGTTTTTTTTTTAAGATATGAGGATTATATGGCAAGAGTTGCATTTGAAGAATATGTAAAAATAGAGGCTGGAGAGATGCTCAGCAGGTAAAAGCACTGGCTGCTCTTACAGAAGACCTGAGTTTGGTTCCCAGGACCCATATGGCAACAAACAACTCTCCGTAACTCCAGTTTCAGGGGATCGGATGTCCTCTTCTGACCTCCATGGGCACTGCATGACACAAGTGCACTTATATACATGCAGGCAATACACTCATACACATAAACTATTTTTTTTTTTTTTGGCTTTTTTGAGACAGGGTTTCCCTGTGCCTCAGCTGTCCTGGAACTCACTATGTAGACCAGACTGGCCTTGAACTCACAGAGATCTGCCTGCCTCTGCCTCCCGAGTGGGAGTGCTGGGATTAAAGACGCCCGGCTCAATAAACTATTTTTTAAAAAAATGAGTATGTAAAAATAATAATCATTAAATGAAATACAGAAGAGGAATCTTTTTCTTTCCTTAGATTGACTGCAGGTAGAAATACCACACACCTTTTGAAATCAGCTCAGAGAGCAGCTTATGAAACCTCTGACTCTACATACTTGCCATAGTGAACAAGGAAGCCACAAGTTTCAGATTGTCACAGCTAGATGATAATGAAGACATTATTGAGACTCTGACTGACACTACAGCAGAACAATGTCCCTTTTCCTAGCAACCAATGTGCCACAGCCCATAGAAAACTGCAATCTACTGTAATTTCAGGATGAAATTACCTTACTAAAATCTATTGGTCAATTATGATTACAAGTTAAGCATCTTTTATATAAAATGCTTGGCGTCAGAAGTGTTTCAGATCTCTTACTTTTTCCAAATTTGGAGTATCTGTTCATAATTTTTTTCCAATTTTGGACTATTTGGAACCCAAATCTCAAAAGAAAATCCTTTTATGTTTCACGTAGACTTTATACAGATAACCAGAAGGTAATGTTATACAACATCCCTAATGATTTTGTGCATAAAACAAAGTCTGTGAACACTGAATCATCTGAATTATGACAGGTGAACACTGAAAAAGTTTTAAATTTTGGAGCACTTTGGAATTCAGGTTTTTGGACTAATGATACTTACTTTGTACAGAGAATATACAATGGGAACTTCAGGATAGCCTGATGAAGACTTCATATAAAGATGAAAATTTAGTAAACCTTGCAGATGTAATGCTCTCAAGGCTGTAGTATGGAGAAAAGCCCATCCATAAATCTTTCTTTTAACGTTAATGACACCATTCATTAAAGTGCTAAAATAGCATTCAGAGTTGACATTGTTGGTTATATTTTGGTTTACTTTTACTTCTTCATATGAGAAGTAAATAAGTAATCTGAGCAAAGTCCGGAAAAGAAAAACAGGGTACTGATCTAAGGTTAGAGCAGGGAAATATGGGAATAAAGAATGTGGAGAAGTCCTGGGAGGTAGCTGGAGAAAAGGTGATTTTGACTGTTTGACAGCACAGTCTTTTGATTGAAGCTGAAAAATACCGTAAGTCTATTTCTGAAAACTTATCTACAAAATCACAGACTCTATTACATTTTGTTGTTCCATTGACATAATACTGCATTCTCAGAATAAATAAAATTGCAATAAGGAACAGAGATAAAC